TGTTCAAAAATGAAAATACAAAACAAAAATAAACAGTGAATGAGAGCATGTCCCATTGCTGCCAATGGTGATTGTCACAATGGCAGGAGTGTGTTGGGATATGACAAAATATGAGTTTTTACGTTCCGAAAAAGAAACTATTCAAGTACAAAGTTTTAGACACGTACGATCGGACTTTGATCGTGATGTCGGGATTCCACGCAAGTATGCCGGACGCAAGTCTGTCGGACAATCTACATCCACACAAAAAGGGAATGACCCTATACAAGTGAGGTATCAATTTTGTGTACAATGCAGTAGGGAATAATACAAGATGTCCCAAAGTACTGCATCCAACACAGAATTGCCGTAGAGGTCGAATCAAGTTCTGTAAACAAGGGATTTTCCAAGGGAAAATTGTTGAACTTATTTTTGTGATTGAATCATCAATTCAAGCCAAGCATTAATCAAATAGGAACAATTTCACTCAAAGTATACCTAGACACAGGAGAACTATTGTCGTGAAAGTGTTGTACAGTTGATTACAAATTTAGATTGCAGAGAGTTTGTTCTGAGCGCCACTCACAATAGAGCACATTTTGCTTTATTCTAACAATGTTGCCCATTTTGACTTGATCTGTCGATCTCCAATTTGTTTCAAGTAGGATAGAACTCTTGTTATCTTGATATAGTATATTCTTCTCGATTGGGTAACCTTGCTCTTCCATGAATAAACGCGTCCATAAAATATTGGACATCGCATCATGGACTCCAATTAGTTCAGCATGTGTACTGCTGTCACAATTCAATTTTTGCTTTTGTGTAATTGCTTGCACTGCTCCAGTGCCCATTGTCATCACAGCTGTTGGAGGTATTGATATACTGAGCAATCATATTGGTCGATTATTGATCAATGGTCTATGTGACATGAAGCTGCAGTGACATGAGTGTCAATCATGCGTGGTATGAAACGCAGTATGTCCGAACGAGTCATCACGTAGAAAGGTGATCAAGAATGAGAATCGTGAGAATTTGTAATATGATCCTGAACTTCAATCGAGAGTCTCACTATTGATTGAGTTCTGGCAAGAATAGTATTGTGGACATTGAGGTCCAAGCAAGTATAGGATATAAAGTAAGACCTTTGATTGAATAAGACTACTGCTTATTCCAGAGGCTGAGGCCCAGAGTCGCTGGTGCCCAAAGGCAGACCATAGCCGACGTAGATTCAATCTCAGGGACTGCTCATTGAAACAGACAGGGCGTTGAGGCTCCCATTCAGGTCTGTAGAGCAAGTCCATCTGACACTCAATCGATAGTGAGACTATTTATAAAAGAGACAATGACGCGACGCAACCAAAGTAGGAGAGGAGGTCGCCGTGGCAATCAATTTGGTGGAAATCGCCAGACAAGTGGCAATTCACAGAATGCAAAAAAGAAAGAAAAACAAGCCCAAGTATCATCCGAGCGACCCAGATTTTCCTTATGCCGATGTAACACGGAGCCTCATCGAACGAATTGGGGTGGAGGGATTGGAGTATTCTCAGATTATGATATCTTCCATCAAAGAATTGAATGAGCCAGACTGGGATGGCTTGAAACCCAAATTGGATTTAACTGGCCAAGAAGACAAAATTGAGAGAGAGGCAAAGAAGGAAGAATTGAAAACGGAGAGTGTCGAATATCATCGACAAAAGCGATACTGGAGCAAAGCGAAGTGGCATGTGCATTCGCTGATTATGGAGTCATTTGTTACCAGTAAAATGAAGGACAAGATTCTACAGGAGGTCGATTACAATGAGAAAATTGAGGGTGATCCTATTGAATTATTGAGACGCATCAATAAATTTATGACGACCAGTGATGTGACAGACTGGGAACCCATTACATTGTGGGAAGCACTACAGAAGTGGGTGAATTGTCGTCAGAAAGGAAATGAAACGGTGATTGAATACCGTAAACGATTTGAAGAATGCGCAACTACAGTATTATCTTTCATGGGTGATTCGTGGCTAGAAGTGTTTGCCGCGAAAACGACCGCATATCATGAAATTGAAAACAATCACCCGACTAATGGCTTGTCGGATAGAGAAAAGAAGCGAGTTACAGCAGAAGTCAAAGAACTTCAAGAAGAATTTCAGGACGAGTTTGTAAAACTGTTCTGCACTGCTGGATTATTGCACAACTGTGATCGTGCACGATACCAGCCGGTACTTGATCATTTTGTTACTGCATACACTGTGGAGCACGTGGATTATGCTCAGCGAGATTTATTCCCGAGAGATGTGGAAACTGCAGCCAAGGCGCTACACAATCATCGGGTAAAGAAAACAGCAACACGAAAACATAACAAGAACAACAACAACAACACAAATGATAAAACGAACACCCCACAGAACGGTACTAACCTTGCACAGGATTTCAATAAGGGGAGTAAGCGTAAGTGTTTTTGCTGTGGTTAGGCGGATCATGTTGCACCGCGATGTGAACATCGATTCCTACGCAAGGAACAATGGAAAGATCCAACAAAGTGGAGATGGCATCCCAGGACCGAAACGGGACGCGACCAGGTGCACCTCCAGACAGGCACCGAGGAGGGATCTGTGCAGTCAAGTGTTACAGCTAACACCGCAGGTACACCCGCCAACAATGATGGCGGTATTTCTCAGCAGAACCACATGCAGACTGGTTCGGCTGACAGGAGTGGTGGACCACAGCCTTGAAAGCAAAAGATTGGCATTCAGGGGTGGAATATGGCTCAGTTTGGCGGATGTAAGAGACAACCGCAGTCTATTTTAAGACCTTCAAGATTTGGGACGTCACCACCACACAACGTAATGGCAAACTGGCAGGTGTTGAGTGCAACAGATGATTCAAATAAAGATAAGAAAAGGAGAACACGAAGCGGACGATCATTTTATTCAAACGGAGTCAAGTATCGACCCACAGATAGGAATCAAACTGACAGACCAAGACATGGTAAGACGTACTTACAACGAAAGAAGCCCAAGATCAATTTGTTAAAGAACAGGAGTGCCATGAGAAAGAAGGCACGGTTGAAGAGATTACGTATCTCATTATACCAGGCTATTGCGTCAAAGGTAAAATCACAAAAGAAAGAAGAGTTTCGAGATGACAACGTGTTGAGCGCTGAAGCAAGAAGAAAGATAACCGAACGGGCGCATAACTTAATGTTCCAGCAGAGTGGAACTGAGAAGAAAGCGACTTACAATGTGGATGAGTCGTTGGTGATTTCACGCGTCATGCAACAGATTTGTGACGAGGTGTACACAAGGGATGGAGTGTCATTTATTCAGCAGTATTATCTTAACAAAGGATTAAAGATTTTCAAAGAACGAGGAAAAGAAGCTGCACTCAAGGAACTTGATCAACTGATCAAACAAAGTTGTTGGACACCCATCAGCATTGGTGAATTGACTGAATCCGAGAAGAGGGAAGCAGTCGATGCAATGATGTTACTGGCAGAGAAAAACAGTGGTGATGTAAAAGGTCGTTTTGTATATAAAGGAAATGAGACAAGAGACTGGCTGTCTTGAGAGGACACAGCTAGCCCAACCGCGTCACATGAAGGTATCTGTTGCACAGGAGTGATTGACGCGCACAAAGGTAGATGCATGATGTCAATGGACATTCCAAATGCATTCATTCAGACCTTGATGCCAGATTTAGGTGATGGAGAAGATCGGGTGATCATGAAGGTAACTAGACTGATGGTCCAATACATGATCGATTTGGACCTAACCTATTGCGATTATGTTGTTTATGAGAATGGCAAGAGGGTGATCTATGTTGTGATCCTTTGTGCCATATATGGGATGTTGCAGGCATTGTTGCTGTGGTATCAAAATCTGAGAGCTTCTCTAGAGGAGTATGGCTTTGTTTTTAATCGATATGATCCCTGCATTGCCAACATAATGGTTAATGGCAAACAATTGACAATCAGGTTCCATGTTGATGACGTTTTAGCGAGCCACATGGAACAACAAGTACTTGAAGATTTTTTCACATGGGTGAATGAGAAATATGGTGGCTTAAAAGAGGTCACATGTACTAGAGGTAAAGTTCATACTTATTTGGGTATGACATTGGATTTGTCGAAGAAAGGAAAAATGAAAATTCGCATGGATGATTATGTGGATCGCATGCTGAGTGAGTTTCCAGTCAAATTTAAGCACAATGAGGTCCAGGAGACACCAGCCGGAAATAATCTACTGGAGAAAGGTAAAGGGGCACCGCTTGAGAAGGAACGACATGAAGTGTTCCATTTGTTTGTTGCCAAATCGTTATTTTTGTCCAAACGTGCTCGTCTGGACATCAGTCTGACAGTATCAATTTTAGCATCAAGGGTGCAATCTCCGAATCTGAGTGATTGGCACAAACTAGTTCGATTGATGAGATACATTCATTCTACAAAAGGATGGCATCTGACATTGGGCGCTGATGATTTGCGCGTGATTAAATGGTATGTCAATGCATCATTTGCTGTTCATCCAGACTTCAAAAGTCATACTGGAGCTGTGATGACAATGGGCACTGGAGCAGTGCAAGCAATTACACAAAAGCAGAAATTGAATTGTGACAGCAGTACACATGCTGAACTAGTTCGATCCTACTTGAAACGAATGGGAGATCAAGCGCCAGAAAAAGGAGCCGTGCGCTAAACATCCGATATTTCTTTGTGACAGATCAAGTCGAATTGGTCAACATTACTATTGAACACATGCCAACTGATGAAATGTGGGCAGATTACATGACAAAGCCTTTACAGGGCGAAATGTTCCGCAAATTCCGGGCTGTAATTCAAGGTGACCAGGATTAGTCCTGATGATTGATCTTGGATATTTTACTTATATTGAGAGGTAATGTTTTTGTTCCATCCACTGGAGTCGCTGGTGAAACAACAGGAGTGTGTTGGAGGTATTGATATACTGAGCAATCATATTGGTCGATTATTGATCAATGGTCTATGTGATGTGATTCTGCAGTGACATGAGTGTCGATCATGCGTGGTATGAAACGCAGTATGTCCGAACGAGTCATCACGTAGAAAGGTGATCAAGAATGAGAATCGTGAGAATTTGTAATATGATCCTGAACTTCAATTGAGAGTCTCACTATCAATTGAGTTCTGGCAAGAATAGTATTGTGGACATTGAGGTCCAAGCAAGTATAGGATATAAAGTAAGACCTTTGATTGAATAAGACTACTGCTTATTCCAGAGGCTGAGGCCCAGAGTCGCTGGTGCCCAAAGGCAGACCACAGCCGACGTAGATTCAATCTCAGGGACTGCTCATTGAAACAGACAGGGCGTTGAGGCTCCCATTCAGGTCTGTAGAGCAAGTCCATCTGACAACAGCTCCAGTATGACTTTTGAAGTCTGGATGAACAGCAAATGATGCATTGACATACCATTTAATCACGCGCAAATCATCAGCGCCCAATGTCAGATGCCATCCTTTTGTAGAATGAATGTATCTCATCAATCGAGCTAGTTTGTGCCAATCACTCAGATTTGGAGATTGCACCCTTGATGCTAAAATTGATACTGTCAGACTGATGTCCAGACGAGCACGTTTTGGCAAAAATAACAATTTGGCAACACACAAATGGAACACTTCATGTCGTTCCTTCTCAAGCGGTGCTCCTTTACCTTTCTCCACTAGATTATTTCCGGCTGGTTTCTCCTGAATCTCATTGTCCTTAAATTTGACTGGAAACTCACTCAGCATGCGATCCACATAATCATCCATGCGAATTTTCATTTTTCCTTTCTTCGAAAAATCCAATGTCATACCCAAATAAGTATGAACTTTACCTCTAGTGCATGTGCTCTCTTTCAAACCACCATATTTACCATTCACCCATGTGAAAAATCTTCAAGTACTTGTTGTTCCATGTGGCTTGCTAAAACGTCATCAACATGGGACCTGATTGTCAATTGTTTGCCATTAACCATTATGTTGGCAATGCAGGGATCATATCGATTAAAACCAAAGCCATACTCCTCTAGAGAAGCTCTCAAATTTTGATACCATAGCAACAATGCCTGCAACATCCCATACATGGCACAAAGGATCACAACATAGATCACCCTCTTGCCATTCTCATAAACAACATAATCGTGATAGGTTGGGTCCAAATCGATCATATATTGGACCATCAGTCCAGTTACCTTCATGATCACCCGATCTTCTCCATCACCTAAATCTGGCATCAAGGTCTGAATGAATGCATTTGGAATGTCCATTGACATCATGCATCTACCTTCGTGCGCGTCAATCACTCCTGTGCAACAGATACCCTCATGCAATGCGGTCAGGCTAGCTGTCTCCTCTCAAGACAGCCAGTCTCTTGTCTCATTTCCTTTGTATACAAAACGACCTGTGATATCACCACTGTTTTTCTCTGCCAGTAACATCATTGCATCGACTGCTTTCCTCTTCTCGGACTCAGTCAATTCACCAATACTGATGGGTGTCCAACAACTTTGTTTGATCAGTTGATCAAGTTCCTGGAGCGCAGCTTCTTTGCCTTGTTTTTTAAAAATCTTCAATCCTTTGTTAAGATCATACTGTTGAATAAATGACACTCCATTCCTTGTGCACACTTTGTCACAAATCTGTTGCATGACGCATGAAATCACCAACGACTCATCCACATTGTAAGTTGCTTTCTTCTCAGTTCCACTCAGCTGGAACATTAAGTTATGCGCCCGCTCAGTAATCTTTCTTCTTGCTTCAGCGCTCAACACGTCGTCATCCCGGAACTCTCCTTTCTTTTGTGATTTTACCTTTGACGCAATAGCCTGGTATAATGAGATACGAAATCTCTTCAACCGTGCCTTATTTCTCATGGCACTCTTGTTCTTTAACAAATTGATTTTGGGCTTCTTTCATTGTAAGTACGTCTGACCATGTCTTGGTCTGTCAGTTTGATTCCTATCTGTGGGTCGATTTTTGACTCCGTTTGAATAAAATGATTGTCCACTTTGTGTTCTCCTTTTTTTGTCTTTATTTGAATCATCTGTTGTACTCAACACGGGGACTTCTTCAAACCTCACTCCTGCACAAACATCATCTTCTTTGTCAGGATATACTTGCGGATTGTCTTCTGCTTCTTGCAGTTCTTGTATTTCTTCCGCATCAAATTCACCCTCATAGTCATCGTCTCCATCTTCAACGCTGAACATTATTTCTTCTTCAATGGGTTGGCTCAATCTATCCAACTCATGGGCTACTTCATCAATCATATCTATTAATTCTACATCATCAATATCCATTTCAATATTGCTTTCAGGTTGCTGATCCTGCACAAAATCCATATCGTCTTTATTGTCTTCATCGTCTTCTTCTTGACGTCTCTTAATTCTTTGCAGCATGCGGTTGACAGTTCTATCTGCATCATCATATTCATGTTCTCTCTTATCATCAATTCTTCTAGATTCCAATATATCTTTGGCTGTATCCTCAATTAGTTCTTTGAGTTCTTCATCTGTGATTGCATCATTCTTGCACAAATTCATGTCATTGACCGGTGGAATCTCAATATCTGCAGGTACATAGTCTTTGTCCCACAGTTCATCTGGGTCCACTCCTGCAAGCAGATCAGCATCCAAAATTATTTCTCCATTGCGCCTGGAATAGGTTTGTAAATCTGTAATGCCTTCCTCAGCAGCATGGGCTTCAACCAATTTGATCACTTGATCAGTGATTGGGAGCACCGTAATTTGAGGTCTAGTTACCTCTCTCTTTGTGTTCAAATCATATAGCTTGTGACCTTTTTGCATATTATCAGCTGGTCCCAAGTAAATTGCTTCAATAGTGCATGACTGATGATCACTGCGAGTATCATGTCCATAACCATGGACATACGACCCAAGTTCAGCAACAAATTCCTTCAAATAATCAACTTAACAAAATCATAAGAGGACTGTAATAGGCCAAAATACCCCCTTTGGCAGGATAAAAGTTGGAAGTCTGTGCAACTCGTTTTGCAATAGCTTCAGTAATAATCCTTGGAATGGCCTTATACGGCATGCAATGGTATTGGACACGGAACAACGCCTTGATATGTTGGATGTTTTGTTCCGCCGTGGGGTCGTGTTCTCCCCGGCTTGCATAATTCATATCAACATTCATCTCATCTTTAACATCATCAAAAACTGGTCTAAATTCACCATCACAGTAGATAGTCTTGATAGTAAAATTGATTGCGTCATACAACGACTCCGCAGTCCTGCTTTGTAGCGGTACAAAAGTTTGGTATCGGACACTACCATCAATTGTAGTCAATCCGAATGTGCTATTGATGAACGCAATATCCAGATGCAAATTCAAATCAATGTTGTGGACCAACAATTCACATGGGATCTCAACCCAATCATCCCAAACTGCTTCCGGGGTAGGACGCTTAGTCTTTCCTTTAAGAACTAAAGCGCTTGGTCCATAAATCTTGTCAGCAATAACAATGTCTTCTTCTCTGATGGGACAATTCTTGAATAAACCTGAGCGTACGGCAACTTTGAATGCTTCAATCCCTGGTGCACCATCCATGTGATACCCCGATCTTGCAGCGTTCGCTCGGTCAACTTGTCGTGGGGTGTAACCCTCTATAAAACTCAGAAATCAAAAATCAAAAACTAAAAGGTAGAAGATTATTTTCCATGGACAGCACCAAAACAAAACTGTACCAGTCCTACGCGTTTTCTACGTAAAGGAAAACAGTTGTTGTTGCTGAAACAGGAAAGAAATTTACTTTAACATGAAGGATAACATCGTCAACCCGCCGGAGAAGGATCTGAATTGGATCATGACTGTAGACCTCCCTGACCTTGGTCAGGGAGGTCTTGAGGAAAAAAACCGATCAAAATCGACCACTCAATTGTTGATTGCTCTAACAAAGGAAAATCCTGCCATCACGACTCCCAAGCGCAGCAGCAAGCGAAACCCTTCAGAAACCGCCGAGGATGGCGCAATGAAAGGCCGCTTGCTCTTCCCATCTGAAGTTCCCCAAGGCCAGGACGTCACGGTCAACACTCGCCCAAATCCGACCACTCCTTTGTCAATCGAGTTAACTAAGGACAATCCGCGTGATCCCACAACTTCAAAGAGCCAACGCAAGCATCCCCCTCCTTCCAAAACCGCCAAGGATGGCGCAGTACAAGGACCATCGCTTGTTGCCTACATCACAAAACTCAAGATGTCAAAGTTTCACAGGCTCTACAAGAAGGCTTGGAGACAGGAGATGTTTGCTCTCGCAACGGCCCAACGCGTTATCACTACTGAAGAAAAGTCGCCTTGCTTTTGGGAAATTTTGCTCATGTTCGACCCAACATTAATTGTTCCCCGCGCCGAGCCGTTGACTTGGATGTGGCGAACGGCATCCGAATTCTTTGCTAATCCTGCTATCATTCCTCACATTGTGGAGGAATTTGAGCGACGAAAACGAGAGCTACAAATAGCCAAAGCTCAGTCCAAGTTTCCACCAAAACAAGGTTGGAACCAGACCAAACTTCTTCGCTATTTACACACAACAACAATCCTATTTTATGACATCTGCGCTGCCCATCAGAAGTGGCCACCAACCATGGGCTCAAATGACGAAAAATCACAAGAGTGGGCTTTGAAATCGACAAGGACTGCACCTGAGCACGCTCAGGAAGGTCTGGAGGCAACAACCCGATCGAATTCTACCACCCTATTGACGGTTGACCTTGTGAAGGACAACCCCTGTGAACACAAATTCTCCATGTTGTACAGCATATTTGTCTTGTTTCTTTCTCTGGAAAAGATACAGCAGACCGATTTTCTTGGTCTACCCTTCCAAATCCCCACCAACAGAGTGGGAGTGCCAATCTGCCCATTGACAGATGACTTGAGAGAATTACATCCAATTCTTTCCTTGGAAAAGGTACCCACAAAATTCCTCTGTATCCCAGGAGAAATCCTTGCATCTTGTTTGTACTTCCCCACCAACAGTGGGAGCGCCGATTTGTCCCCTGACATGATCGACTAGAGCAACTTTTTCTTGAAAAATGCCTCAACGTGGTTCAAACTTATCTGACTAAAAGCAGCATAGTTCCTGGCCTCTACAGCCGTATTACACCGGCAGTTGGATACTCTAGAAGTAGCATAAAAACCAATTAATGATTCAGTTATATATATGGGGTGTAACCCTCTATGTTCTTTTTTACAGTTTGGAGACCAGAGTAACGGGAAGTATGTTGACTAGTTGTATTATCGTTGCCGCCATGATACAATTGACCAAACACGAAACCACCGTGAGCTCTGCACGAACGGCAGGCTTCACCCGTCGGTCCAAGTTCCATGCACACATTGTAATGACTCTGCCCCTCATAGGGATCATAAGTATACAACCCATCCTTTTCTCTGTAAATCCATTGATTCCCATCTTTGGAAACAAAAAATGCATTTTCTACGTCGGTATCCATCACGATACGATATCCTTCTTTTACCAATAAAGACACACTGTCCACATCACAGATGGCATCGGCGTCATACTTGCACATATTATCCATGTGCTTGCTCTCAACTTCATGTGTTAGAACCTTCCTCCTCCAACATTTGTTTCATAATTGAACATATACGGAAGCTCTTTCAATGTTCCCATCTTTGCATTCATCAAATCTTTGCAAAGATGAAATGTCAAAGCAGTGTCAAGGGACAGACCCGTTGCGCCCAAACAAAACCACTTCGGATCATGCATATCAAAATGCTCCGGAATCTTGCCATCCTTATAATCATTTGAATCAAGATACACCAGATTGCCGCTATCCTTGTACTTGAGTCCCCGATGAGCTTGGGAATGCATCACAGCTACTTCCCTACCAACCTGTATGTTGGAGCTCTGTGTACTTGCAACACTGACATCTTCTTCAGCTGCTCTGACAGCATCCAATTGTACCTGCCAGTTTGCCATTATGTCGTGTGGTGGTGACGTCCCAAATCTTGAAGGTCTTAAAATAGGCTGCGGTTGTCTCTTACGTCCGCCAAACTGAGCCATAGTCCACCACTGAAATGCCAATCTTTTGCTTACAAGGCTGTGGACCACCACTCCTGTCAGCTGAACCAGTCTGCATATGGTTCTGCTGAGAAATACCACCATCATTGTGAGCGGGCGTGCCTGCAGTGTTAGCTGTCACACTTGACTGCACAGATCCTTCCTTGGTGCTTGTCTGCAGGTGTACCTGTTTGCGTCCCGATTCATTCCTGGGATACGATCTCCATTTTGTCGGATCTTTCCATTGTTCCTTGGGTCGGAATCAATGTTCACATTGCAGTGCAACATGATCCGCCTTACCACAGCAAAAACATTTACGCTTACTCTCCCTGTTGGAATCCTGTGCAAGGTTAGTACCGTTCTGTGGTGTGTTTGCTTTATCATTTGCGTTGTTGTTGTTGTTGTTGTTGTTGTTGTTGTTGTTGTTATGTTTTGGAGTTGTTGTTTTCTTTACCCGATGATTGTGTAGCACCTTGGCTGCAGTTTCCACATCTCTCGGGAACAAATCTCGCTGAGCATAATCCATGTGCTCCACAGCGTAGTATACAGTAACAAAATGATCAAGTACCGGCTGGTATCGTGCACGATCACAGTTGTGCAATAACCCAGCAGCACAAACTCTTCCTGAAATTCTTCTTGTAGTGTTTTGACTTCTGTGGCAACTCGCTTCTTTTCTCTATCCGACAAGCCAGTAGTCAGATGATTGTTTTTAATGGTACATCTGCCACTCGTCAGACCCTATTGTGGCGGAAGACCCAGGTTCCAAAATCACCCACAGACCTAAAATAATTTTTTTCTCCATACAAAAGTCTTACCTTAGATCCTTATCTTACATCCTATTGGGTGGCGTCATCGTGATTGTGCTCTAGACATTCACTGCAGTCAAGAAGGAAATTGATGCTTTGAACAGCAATTCAGATCATTGGTTGTTTTCGTGCCTTATGAGTACAGTATGACCTAAAATCACTCATGGGCAATCTGAGTTCCGATTTGTAGCTGGATTGGAGCATTCTTTGATGAATTTCAGGCACATTTTGTAAGTTGTAAATTTTCAATTTCAGTCCACAACAGTCCTAGTGACAACTTTTGGAGCTACAGTGACTTCCCTGAGCATAATGATAACAGCCCCACCCAATAGGATACAAGATAAGGACCTAAGCTAAGACTTTTGTATGGAGAAAAACTTTATTTTAGGTCTATGTGTGATTATAGAAGATGGGTCTCCCGCCAAGATAGTATGAAATGGGCTTCTTGAGCGGCGGACGGACCGTTAATTTCATGATATGCGGTAGTCTTCAAGGCAAACACATCTACCCACAAATCACCCATGAAAGATAATACTGTAGTTGCGCATTCTTCAAATCGCATACGGTATTCAATCACCGTTTCATTTCCTTTCTGACAACAATTAACCCACTTCTGTAGTGCTTCCCACAATGTAATGGGTTCCCAGTCTGTCACATCACTGGTCGTCATGAATTTATTGATGCGTCTCAATAATTCAATAGGATCACCCTCGATTTTCTCATTGTAATCCACCTCCTGTAAAATCTTGTCCTTCATTTTACTGGTAACAAATGACTCCATAATCAGCGAATGAACATGCCACTTTGCTTTGCTCCAGTATTGCTTTTGTCGATGATATTCAACACTCTCCGTTTTCAATTCTTCTTTCTTTGCCTCTTTCTCAATTTTGTCATCTTGACCAGTTAAATCCAATTTAGGTTTCAAACCATCCCAGTCTGGCTCATTCAATTCTTTGATGGAAGATATCATAATCTGAGGATACTCCAATCCCTCCATTCCAATTTAGGCTTCTTGTTACATCGGCATAAGGAAAATCTGGGTCGCTCGGATGATACTTGGGCGATCTTTTTTCTTTCTTTTTTGTATTCTGTGAATTGCCACTCGTCTGGCAATTTCCACAGAAACAATTGCCACTGCAAACTCCTCTTGTACTTTGGTTGCGGCGTGTCGTTGTAAAGTTTATAAACTTTCTCACTATTGATTGAGTGTCAGATGGATCTGCTCTACAGACCTGAATGGGAGCCTCAACGCCCTGTCTGTTTCAATGAGCAGTCCCTGAGATCGAATCTACGTCGGCTATGGTCTGCCTTTGGGCACCAGCGACTCTGGGCCTCAGCCTCTGGAATAAGCAGTAGTCTTATTCAATCAAAGGTCTTACTTTATTATCTCCTATACTTGCTTGGACCTCAACGTCCACAATACTATTCTTGCCAGAACTCAATCGATAGTGAGACTCTCGATTGAAGTTCAAAATCATCTTATAAATTCTCACGATTCTCATTTTTGATCACCTTTCTACGTGATGACGCGTTCTGCCATACTGCGTTTCATATTAGGCACAATCAACACTCACGTCACTGCCGCGTCACGTCACATAGACCATTGATCAATAATCAACCAATATGATTGCTCAATATACCAATACGTCCAACACAAACAAGAAGTGACAAGTCCAACAAAGCTCCAAACCAAGAACTAGTGAAGGCACCGGATCCGCCTTGTATTTAAAAAAATATACAATCCAATGTATTCTATTGACAAGCCAGGCACAGATGTTCAACACAATTCCGCCAGATCCGTGGGGGACCAGGTGCAAAACTCAAATTTCTTTGCATCTCTACAAAGTGACGATGAATTGTCCGACGGTAGTGGAAGTCAAGAGTTTGACGAGGTTAAAGTGGTGGCAGTGCAAAAGAATCACTCAATGGCGCCCAAGTCATTGGATGAAGATGAAGACAATGATGATGATGACACTGACGACAGAGAGAACATTGTGGATGACGCAATGGAGGAAGATGATGATGAACGGGCCAATAGCGATGGGACGAACCCGCACAATGAGGCCATGGACAACAACACTCCATCGTTGATTTCCCACAGCCTCACGGCAACACAAGACTTAGCAGGTACAGAGATCCTTATGGAGCCCTGGGAAAAAACTCCTCCTTGTGTTCAACGTCCCCCAACACTGGACGAACGGATCTCAAACCTTATTCAGGTGAATATGGAAGGGGTACCAGGCAAATGTCACATCTTTGAGACTACTTTCTCTGTGGACTATCAAGGGTCGGATTCAGGAACTGTGGCGGAAGAGCTCTTGTACAGTTCTGAATTCTATGAGAAGCCATCAACAATTTTCCTACTGATTTGAAGCTCCTTCTGATCTCTGATACCACATATAAGCAACAGAATCTGTGGATTCAAAACTCAGTAGATTTACACAATCGCATTTTGACTTATCACACTCTGTCAACTTACTGTGATATGGAATATGGTAACTGTCCTTACGCGGCAACCAACAGCAAGCCGGGCAAGAAGAAACTACACACATGCCTTTGCGTTAGCTTCTCGTCTGAGGCTTTGGTTGAGGTCGTGCAAGACTACCTTCATACTGGACACCGTCAATTGGGTAGAGGCGCTGGGTGCTACCCTTCTCCATTGCAGTATGGAGAAATTGTGAAGATTGGATCATGCTTGTTTATTCCTGCTTCTCAGCTTATGCAAAGGAGCTGATGAGACTATTTGATTTTGAAGTACCTATTGGTATCAAGATGGACTGGGTTTCTATTCTGTACACGCGCCAAGCAAAGTACAATGAACGGTCCCCTGGATTGACTAGTCCACATTGTTTCACTTGGAGGATTCATGCCAAGAGAGCTGATCGCACTTTGAGGTTGATTCTCCACCCAGCAAGTGCAAAACCTGACTTTCCATTTGCAGCACCGGCCACCTACATCAGTGATTGGAAGTCGGCGCAACAAGGATTGCTGAGTGTCAAGGCCTACGGTCCGGTGAAGGATGCGATCCTGACCTTGATCAGCAAGTTACGGGATTACTACATTTTGACGGAGGTTCTATATCCAGGCATCAACTTCACAGGGATGTTCAAGTTTGCTACTACAAGGTTGTACGGTTCTTGCACCCTGTTCAAACTGCTCTTGTCCATCGAGGCCACTCCGGCCCAGGCTGATCAAGCTTTCATAGCTGGCAAAGACAAACCCTCTCCAACAACTGCCAATGACGACTCATCTGAAGAGGAGGACAACAATGAATCTCAGGAGGGAGCGGTTTCTCTATCCGGGGCATTCACGAAGGTGACAAAAAAGAAGAAGAAGAAGAAAAAGAAGAAGTTGCCCCTTTCCGATAACCTCAAGAATCATTTTCTCAAAGATCTGTCCCCGGCACAACGCAAACTGGCTGAAGCCACCGACCGCAAACTGCAGAACAATATTGATCGCCATAAAGCAGGTCCACTCTTCTTGATGATCCTTCCTGGAGAAATGGAAGGCTCTTACATCTTTGTATGTCACAAGAAGTACGGTCAGTTGGCTTGAAACGTGTTGAGAGGGATAGTTCTGTTCTTGATTCATCACCTGTGCAAACTTACCGATATGCAAGCTGATCAAGTCTTGGGTAATAATAATAACAACTGAGACATTAATCGTTAATATGCAACTCTGTGGGCATTCGATTGCCGGTGAAATATTTGGCTGTAAAGGTCAAGTACTGTGAAGCGGTGAGTCAACAACAAGTTTGAACCATGTGAGGCATCAAGTCTCCCAAAGGGGTAAAGACTTCTCCCGCAACGTGGCGGGATGAATTTGGGGCATGTAAGGTCCCGCGAAAAGTTGGTCAGGGTCCAGGGGAGAAAGTAGTCCGCAGACTGCGGCGTTGTGCTTTCATGGAGCGACGGAAATCTCTGCGTTCCTGACAAAGCAACTTAAGCAAGTCTTCCTTGTCCACCAAGGACTTGCAAAGGGCTTGTTGACGGCTTGTTAGCATTGGTTGAATTTCCTTAGGCAAGTCATTGGGCCCCATATCAAACTGTGAGTGAATCCCCTCATTGACAGTACTGTGACGTTCACATATTTGAACATTATCACATGTAGAAGCCAATTGAGATCAGCTGTTGTGAGAGGCGGGACGCCCAAAGAGAGACAGATCGTTGACATCTGATCTTGTCATAATGTTGTTGTTGGAGTGGAAGCCAAGACAAGGCGGTGTGTCCCTCCAAAAGGCCTTGGGACCCAATCACCTGCTGAGCCAAGAAGGCCGGCCAAACCGAAGGAGAGATGGTCCTTGGAAGAAATGAAGGAGGTGTGCAAACGCCTTGAAGAAGCTGTAGGATCGCTAGTTTGATGGATGGGCCCGTCAGTTGCAGGTCTAGCCACGCAGAGAAGGCTGCAGTGCGACGATCCCATTCAGCTGTTGCCAAAGCAGCGCAGCAGCGGGGAACGTGCAGATGATCCTCAAAGTTGCCGCAGCGTGGGCAAGCTGCTGATGTCTCCAAACCCCATAAAACTTTAAATTTGCCTGTGCCGCACATGCCCACACAATGTTTAGTAGACCATCTTTGTAGTCCTGCAGGAAGAGATCACATGGCGTGACCCATTGTGTCCCAGGCAATCTCAGACTCGGTTTTGGCAGAGAGAGTACCTTTGTCCCTCCAGCGCGAGTGTAGGGCCGGAAGAGTCACACACTCTTGGATGAACTGGAAATCAAGGCATGACTGTTTGGTGTCTGCCACGTACATTGCCGCAAGTTCAGTGAAGAAACGAGGGTTGGGGGCTATGAGATGATTGGCCGTCTCAAGTTCCTTATGGTACTCCACCGCCATTTCATCCACCTCAAGGTTCCGTTTTGCCAATGGTGCGCCGGTGTTGAATGGTTGGCTTGGTGATAAATTCGAAGTTTTCATTGTAAATTCAGTACTAGCGCTACATAAGGCAGACTGGGTGGTTTTGCCGGAATGCATGTTGTTTCGTTTCTGAAATAATTTTTTCTATGATCAAGTTTTGGGTAAATGGATTCCCAAATCAGAGATCCAGGTGACGCATCGTAAGTGTTTGGTATGGTGCACCAACACACTACGTGCTATTGAGGCCTCTGATCAGTTGACCAAGATGGAGGAAGGTATGGAATTTTTGGACAATGTGATTGAAGACACCATCAATGTCTACCAAGGTCAAATCTCGATCAATATGGATATGGCGAGTGCCAAGGATATTGACGATGGTCAAACGGTCACGGGGATGCTGGATGAAATGCACGAACGTGAACAACAACTGGAGGATGCCTTTGTGGGAATCAAAGCTTGTGACAACGTTAGCATTGGTTGAATTTCCTTAGGCAAGTCATTGGGCCCCATATCAAACTGTGAGTGAATCCCCTCATTGACAGTACTGTGACGTTCACATATTTGAACATTATCACATGTAGAAGCCAATTGAGATCAGCTGTTGTGAGAGGCGGGACGCCCAAAGAGAGACAGATCGTTGACATCTGATCTTGTCATAATGTTGTTGTTGGAGTGGAAGCCAAGACAAGGCGGTGTGTCCCTCCAAAAGGCCTTGGGACCCAATCACCTGCTGAGCCAAGAAGGCCGGCCAAACCGAAGGAGAGATGGTCCTTGGAAGAAATGAAGGAGGTGTGCAAACGCCTTGAAGAAGCTGTAGGATCGCTAGTTTGATGGATGGGCCCGTCAGTTGCAGGTCTAGCCACGCAGAGAAGGCTGCAGTGCGACGATCCCATTCAGCTGTTGCCAAAGCAGCGCAGCAGCGGGGAACGTGCAGATGATCCTCAAAGTTGCCGCAGCGTGGGCAAGCTGCTGATGTCTCCAAACCCCATAAAACTTTAAATTTGCCTGTGCCGCACATGCCCACACAATGTTTAGTAGACCATCTTTGTAGTCCTGCAGGAAGAGATCACATGGCGTGACCCATTGTGTCCCAGGCAATCTCAGACTCGGTTTTGGCAGAGAGAGTACCTTTGTCCCTCCAGCGCGAGTGTAGGGCCGGAAGAGTCACACACTCTTGGATGAACTGGAAATCAAGGCATGACTGTTTGGTGTCTGCCACGTACATTGCCGCAAGTTCAGTGAAGAAACGAGGGTTGGGGGCTATGAGATGATTGGCCGTCTCAAGTTCCTTATGGTACTCCACCGCCATTTCATCCACCTCAAGGTTCCGTTTTGCCAATGGTGCGCCGGTGTTGAATGGTTGGCTTGGTGATAAATTCGAAGTTTTCATTGTAAATTCAGTACTAGCGCTACATAAGGCAGACTGGGTGGTTTTGCCGGAATGCATGTTGTTTCGTTTCTGAAATAATTTTTTCTATGATCAAGTTTTGGGTAAATGGATTCCCAAATCAGAGATCCAGGTGACGCATCGTAAGTGTTTGGTATGGTGCACCAACACACTACGTGCTATTGAGGCCTCTGATCAGTTGACCAAGATGGAGGAAGGTATGGAATTTTTGGACAATGTGATTGAAGACACCATCAATGTCTACCAAGGTCAAATCTCGATCAATATGGATATGGCGAGTGCCAAGGATATTGACGATGGTCAAACGGTCACGGGGATGCTGGATGAAATGCACGAACGTGAACAACAACTGGAGGATGCCTTTGTGGGAATCAAAGCTTGTGACAACGCCTTGGCGGCTAAAGATCAGGCCCTGGCTCAGCAGAAAGCCGCGACGGCGGCTCTTCAAGCCCAACTTGACGCCCTTCAACGCCAGACAGCCCACCACTTGGCCATCGATTCGCAACCACCTGCTCAAAACAATGAGGTCTCCCCAGATCGGTCCGAATTTACTATGCCACCAAAAAAGAGGAAAAGCAAGGATACTTCCACGACTAAGAGGAGAGTTAACAGGTCTAAGGCTGGTCTTAAGCCGCCCACTAAGTAAACTCGTACCAGCACGTCTGTTCACTTTCAGCAGCCAAAGCAGCGCTCTTGGAACACGTCTCAGGTCCAGGTGGACACAACTCAGATGGAGGGCGATACTACTACAGCCGTGTCCCAGGACGAAAGCCTCTCATCTCTGACAGCATCATCTCCGGGAGGTGTACACCCATTCTTTCTCCCTTCTCCATCTGGCAAATCCGGTACTAGCGGATCTGCTAAGTTGCCTTCTTTGGCCGGCCGCGGAGCGCCTTGCTCCGCGGCAGGGCCATGAGAGGCCCCAGGTCGTCTGCCGCTAGGTCACGGCGTGCAGGCAGAAGATCTCGAATTAGTGGCCCGTCAAGTGTTGTTTCCCACGCTTCACTTGACGAATATTT